AAATCACCCCAATGAGGGAACAGACAGAGACCCAGGGGCGTCCCTAGGGTTGGTGTCACCCGGTGTGATACCACTTGATGTCACCCCTCCGACGAACCCCGCAGGATGGATCGAATCTATGGATTGAGCATAATGGATCGGAGTCCAATTTATTATGCTCCCCAATCCGCAGATCCGATTCATCCTGCGGGGATCGTAGGCTTGCAACCTATACGGGGTTAACTGATCTCTCCACGAAAAGGTAAGTTTTAAAGCAAGCCGACGATCCCCGGAAGAAGGATCGGATCTGCGGATTGGGGAGTATAATGAATTGGACTCCGATCTATTATGCTCAATCCGCACATCCGATCCATCCTGCGGGGATCATCGGCTTGCTTTAAAACTTACCTTTTCGTGGAATCGGGTCTGGTGTCAGCCCGTGCGATAGGTGTCATCCAGTGTGGCGTGCCTAGGGATGCCACTGCAGAGACCTAAATGTCTCTCTACTATGTCCAAAGTTAAACAGAAAAAAATGGATGGAGTTGAGCTTTACCTACAGAGTTCCCTATGGGGTTGATTTACTAAAGGCAAGTAGACTGCACTTAGCAAGGACATTTGCTCCAGAGCTTAGTGAATGAAGTTAAACTTCACTGTGCAAAGAATACCCAATCGCATGCAAGGAAAATAAAAAAACAAATCATTTTTACTTGCACATGATTGGATGATGGAAGTAAGCGGAGCGTCTCCTCATTTACTAAGCTCTGGAGCAAAGTGCACACTCTATTTGCCTTTAGTAAATCCACCCCAAACTCTGACAAACGCATAGATGCAGTGCTGATCTTATTAGAAAGCCCAGCCTGCTTTGGATTACATTTAAAACTTCACCACTTCCAGTTCCCAGTTGTTATGTGCTGTTTGAGTAGTCTGCTTTTTGCTCAAACTACACAGTCTTTGTGTACTCAGAATTACATTAACTTAGACCCAATCACACATAATAACTAAGAAGGCCTTTGGATTTATGGTGGACTAAAATTTTACATTGTCATTAGCTTTTTTTTATAACCAGACAGAAGATTAGGCAGAAATACAAGCTTTTACTCTTTAAGCTTGTATATTGCTGAATTTTGTGTTTTGCCACTAGTTCTTTCTTCCATCTTCCCTAAATTTACCAACAGATAGAAGAGCAATAAGTTCAAATGTAGTGAAGGTTTTTCTATGCAACTGATGTACAGTTGTGCTCAAAAATTTGCATCCCCTGGCAGAAATCGTGAAATCTTGGCATTGATATTGAATATATGACTGATCATGCCAAGAAACTGTCTTTTATTTAAGGACAGTGATAATATGAAGTCATTTATTATCACATGGTTGTTTGGCTCCTTTTTAAATCATAATGATAACATAAATCACTCAAATGGCTCTGATCAAAAGTTTGCATCCCCTGGAATCTTTGTCCTGGGTACAGACACACAAGGTGACACACAAGGGTTAAAATGGCAATTAAAGGTTCATTTCCCACATCTGTGGCTTTTTAAATTGCAATTAGTGTCAGTGTATAAACAGTCAATGAGTTTGTTAGCTCTCACGTGGATGCACTGTGCAGGCTAGATACTGAGCCATGGGGAGCAAAAAACAACTGTCAAAGATCTGTATAACAAGGTAATGGAACTTTATAAAGATGGAAAAGGATATAAAAAGATATCCAAAGTCTTGAATATGCCAGTCAGTACTGTTCAATCACTTGTTAGGAATTGAAAAATTCAGGAATCTCTTTATGCCAAGTCAAGTTCAGGTAGAAGGACTGCAGCCACAACATCCGGAAGAATTGCTCCAAGAAAAACCCACAGACAACTTCAGGAGAAATACAGGCTGCTCTGGAAAAAGATGGTGTAGTTGTTTAAAGGAGCACAAAATGACGATACTTCAGCAAAAAATGAGCTACATGATCAAATTTCCAGAAAGAAGCCCTTACTGCACCAATGCCACAAAAAACCCCAGTTACAGTATGGCTAACAACACCTGGACACGCCTCACAGCTTCTGGCACACTGTAATCTGGAGTGATGAGACCAAAATAGAGCTTTACTGTATGGTCACAACCATAAGCGGTATGTTTGGAGAGGGGTCAACAAGGCCTATAGCGACAAGAATACCATCCCCACTGTGAAGCATGGTGGTGGCTCACTGATGTTTGGGGGTGTGTGAGCTTTAAAGCCACAGAGGAATCTTGTGAAAATTGATGGCAAGATGAATGCAGCATTTTATTAAAAAATACTGGCAGACAATTTGCATCTTTCTGCTATTACCAATTCTCCAAGGGTATGCAAACTTTTGAGCACAACTGTACCAAGAGCAATATTAAGCTGGCCATACATGGCTCATATTTTTTTTGTTCAGACAGCAGGCTGAAAGAAACAAACTGAACCGATTCCCACATCCACACATTCGAGTTGGATGCAGGAATCCTCCCTGCTGTACCATTGTATTCTGATAGAGGAATATCCCCGCTGTCAGAAGACAGTGATCAGTTCTGCAGCCAATTGGCTGCATGTTCTGATTGAAGCAAAATTTTCCAACAAGCCCATTCATGAAAAGTTGATCATTAGATCAACTTCTCATGAACAGGAACAGACAGAGGGATCAAACTTTGGCTGATCCCTGCTGAACTGGCTGAATGTTTGATCCATCTGTGGCCAAGTTTAGTAACTCCGATGACATTCTGATGCTACAGTTTTTAACTTTCCCTGGAAAAGCCGAGTTAGATGGGTATTAAACTGCTTCCCTATCACTCTCATGCACTTTGGAAAAATCTCTGAGGGCCTAGTGGCAATACTTGTTTTATTTGCATGCTTTTTTCACTCTAGTTGATGGCCAATCAGTCCTGCACTGACCCCAGAAGCGCCTGCTTTTTTTTTGGGACTTACATACAACGGATCCCTCATCATTTAAGAGTAATGTAACATAAGAAAGAGGAACGCCTGGAAATGCTTATAAGAGGGTTTTTTTTGCAGCAACTCTGCCAAAGAGAATGTGCTTCTATTAGTAGAATCTCTTTTTTCTTCTGGGGATCCGTTCCATGTGCGAGTGTAGAGGGCTCACATAAACAATGTGCTGTGTCCTGTCTCCACTCTGTCAGTTACCGTAATGCACAGATTTGGTGTGAGGAGTGGAGGAACCTGAGCTCTGCATGTGCCGTACACTCCTACTGTAAAATGCCTGCTTGTTTCCAAATACAGTGCATTTGGTTTGATTCTTGGTTCTTCAATGGAAAACTCAAATCTTCAAAAAATAATTGCTGGGATGAAGGAAGCAATGAGGCCCTCTTGTCGCCTTCGCTCTGCACCTTTTTCCTGGTTTAATACAAGGGCCTTCTGTTTCAATGTGAAGTGTGCTTTCATAATTATGTCAATTAAAGAGGCTCTGTCACTAGGTACATGCATAACGCCATAAAGTATAGTGTGGACACCATATTGCCTTTTTCTCAGTTATTAAGGTTTTGTTGTCTTTTGATGTGTGACATGAAATCTGTTATTGTTCTGTTTATGACTTACCCAACCTATTTAAGAAAATGTTCTTGTAAAAGTTTTAACTGTTTCTCCCGCTTACTAGGGGCTGATTTTACAGCTGAGGGCCGTGTTTGGCCAGGAGAGCAATCAGCTGATATGAGGTGGACTGGTTGTTCAGTGGGGGCCATGCCATAGACACCCATTCCATGATAAAAGTATTCATGGTATGAGCTTGGCCTGAACTTTACACAGCTCTCTGCTTTACACTGGCTGTTAATAAACTTGGTCTTGTGAATAACTCTAAGGCCTGCCTCATAAAATGAATTGAACTAAATTTAACTTTTTACTAGAGAACTTCTGTAGCCACATCTTGTATGCATATTGCCATAGAAACTCCCAGAGATTATGTCGGAAAGAGGTTAGGTTTAATTCTGTTATTCTGTGGTGATTACAGCGTATGTAAACCCTAACAATAAACTTCCTTTATTTGCTCCCTTTGGTCTATTTAGTATACCATTGAAAGTGTTTTGTTATATCTGTTCAACAATTGCAAAGAAATAGCTGTCGATCCTGACAAAAATCCAGTACTGTCCTGTGTACGCTGCAGTTTATTTCAAGATAAGAATTACCCAACACCTTCCCCTTTGTTATAGAGGAAATGATGAATAGCAGAGGTGCATAGTAGTCCTAACACACTTAATGTTCTGGGTTGACAATGGTATTCCTCCATAGATACAGTACATTGAGTGAGCCTCACCTTAGGACAGTAAATGTGCTACCGGCAGGATCAGCAGGTGGAAATGAAGGAGGTAAAAAGACTGAAAAAAAAACTACTGCAAACACCACATTTAAGGACTAGTAGTCTGCAATATATTAAGATTTTGTTCTTGGGTTTAGATATACTTTAAGGAAAGAGAGAGATTCAGCACTAAAGAATTTTTGTCTGCATCTCCCTTGACCTTCTTCCTAGTTTCTAAGGTCAACATAAGCCCAACACTCCTAAATCTTCCACAATATAATCTCTTAGCATTGCCATAGCAATAGGTGAACAAGATAGTACTGCAGTGGTAACTTCAGCTTTCACTATTCAAAATTATTCCAGAACCCTCATAAGTGAGAAAACAAAGCACAGTGTCTTCCTTTTACCTGCCTTCCTCCCTGGCAGCATTATGTCTAGTACAAAGTGACAGGTGCTCTTTAACAAGAACAGATGAAACAAATAAATAAAATTATTGCTAGTAAGACTTTGAGTTCTTACAAATTTACTGGATGCAAGTGTTTTCACTCTTTTGTCCTATCTGCCTACACCCCTAATTTGTAAATGATTTGACCTCTTGCAGGAGGACGTGGGGTTTGCGGGAAAATGCAGGGACATTATGGTAGTTTGCTGCATTTACAGAAGTGTTCTTTTCTGATAATAATTTTATTTATTTATTTCGATCCAAAGACGAAAATAAAATTGTGTCTTCTTGTCTTCACTGTATTTTTTATGTCCCCTCCCATTTATGCTTTATAGGATAACTTTATCAACCTCAGCTTTTTACGTCTCTTCCGTGCGGCTCGACTCATTAAACTTTTGCGTCAGGGGTATACTATTCGCATCCTACTGTGGACCTTCGTCCAGTCCTTCAAGGTCAGTACATATCAATACAAGTGATGTCTGAATATATACTGTATATGATCATATATTGGTGTTTGGATGCTTTGTAGCCAGCCACAAGACATTCTGTGAAACTCATAGAGTGTTGTAGATACTTATTAGAAATCTGTCTCTCACAAGTGTAAGAAATGGTGCAACTTGCAACAGATATATGTACATGTTGGTAAGGTGTGCATGAGTCTGTCACAGAATTGTCTCAGAAGTATTGTCTAAAAAAATACTTCTGAGACAATTCTGTGACAGACTCATGCACAGCATCCAGCATAGAAAAGGTCTTATTTGCCTCCCCTTTCCCTATCACCAATATGGTGTTATAAGGAAAGTGAAGCTTGTTGTCCCTGGAAACTGGGTCATTTACGCATGCATCAGAAATGCTTTAATCCCTGGTGGGTGCAAAGGGTAACAAAGATCCCCCTACTTCGAGGAGTGTGGGCATCCCCTCATTGCACACAGGTTTGGAAGATTTAGGAGTCCTAGATTTGTAAGGGAACTGAGTTTTCCAGAATGATGCCTGTGTTTCTTTTGCTGAGGTAAAAGTACTCTTTCTTCCAGTGATGTCTTTGAAATAGTTGTGCAGGGAGGCACCAAAAAGACATTTTCCATCTAAAGGCATTTGCAGTAAGTGTACTGTTTTTCTGCAGACCAATATTTTAGCCAAATAGTCTTTGCATGTGAACAAACAGGATACTTATTCTGGATATGAGACATACAATATCCACAGGTCCATCAACACAGCGGTGTACGATAACAGGCATGATTTCTAATTGTTTTTAAACCTGAAGGATTTTGTAGGATTGAATGAGGTGCATTAGTCATATTCTTGGTCCATTCCCCCAAATGAACATGACAGAAATGACAGTTTGCAAAGCAGGCTAGTCTAGGGAGAAGAAGAACTTGAAAAGGGTTTCTGGTCTCTTGTCTACCAGATGCCTAAACAGTGCATGTCCTGAAAAGGAATGGTCAGTGCTTTGTTCAAGCAATGAGAGGATCCATAACAGGGACCAAGAACATCTTAATAAGGGCCTCTTCAACAAGATATTGCTACGCAAAATGCTTGGGAGACTAAAATAGCTTATCAGGAGTAGACCAGTCACCAAACAAAAGAGGTTGCAGTAGCAAATATACTGGGAATGTATTGACAGGTTGGGTCATTTTAGGGGATTGAGACTGGAGAATTCAGATGCAGGTAGTTCCAAATCTAGACATTTATGCAATACATGAATAAGAACCAATATTGTATTTTTAAGCATAGGAGTTACATTAGTATACTGAACCTCCTTGGTACAAAAGCAACCAAAAAGGACAGTTTACACTCCTCATTATCCCCTGCTACGTGTGCAGAAGCTGCAGGAATATAAGAGGAAGACTCCGGAGGAGAAGGTGCAGAAGAACGCTTGCAGGTCCCTGCATTCTGAGTCAGCTATCATGGCAGAGACTATTTTACATAGCCGAGGAAAATTCTTCCCTAGATAATACAGAGGAGGAAACCATACAGAGCCAATGGAGGCTTGGAGAAGTGGGTGGATTCAAGCGGGGAACAATGATCCAGGCTGTTGCTGTCAGGTTCATGAGGAGGGACACTGCAAGCTGGGGTGATCTGTTATGAATCTGTGTACTGAGCCTTCCTCACCTGAATGAATGCTGGCTGATTCTGTATCTATTTAGCTAATTCTTACCTTCCCACTTTCTTCCTGCACAGGCACTGCCCTACGTTTGCCTTCTGATTGCTATGCTTTTCTTTATTTATGCCATTATTGGCATGCAGGTATGTTCTAAAATCTGTGTGTGTCTACTTATATACCAATATATTTGTCTATTGCTCACAATGGCTCATTCATTATCACACCTACCTTATAGTCCTGGGGTACCAGGTTCTTTATCTGGTTTTTCTTACTCACCTACACTGTATTTGGGTTGATAATTTGACAATGTGGGAATTTACTAAAACTGCAGCAGCCACAATCTGAAACAGATGTGCATGACAACCAGCCAGCTTGCATCTTTCATTTTCAAAGGGTTTAGGCTACATTCAAATGGCTAGACACTTGCAGCCAGGGGCGGAAGCCGGCAAGAAACAGTAGATTCCTGGTGGTTGTAAATGCTGCATGCACACATTGTGTAGTATTAACGGCAGCTGTCAGATTTGTACTCTTTAAAAATCAATGGCGGGTGCCGTTACTGGATGCTGAATAGGGTCTCCATCCAACCCTGGATACAGCCAGTTAATATGCGGCCATAACACAGAGTGTTGCTGCGCCCAGAGGCGACGTTTAGCCACCTCTGAATGCAGCAAATATTCAGCTGTCTGAATGTAGCCTAACTGAATTAGCGGAAGCTAGAAGCTGATTGGGTACTATGCAGAACTGTTCTGAATTCTGCCTGTCGGTTTTAGGCAATTCCCTGATTGCATTTAGTTATATTAAAAAGCAAAAACACAATTGTATTTATTTTCACTCAGGTAAATATGAAATATTGTATAAGTATTTCATATTTAACATTTGCAACCAGCAGGTGGCCCCTATGTAGCAACTAAATTAATCATTGTAACACAACACCCCTTCCCCCACTCCATTTCCATCTTCCACCCTTCACCAACTTAGTAGCAAAAAATGTCCAATTTAACTCGATCAGGCTTCCTCTGAGTACTATTATTTGATGCTTGTACAATACCCACTCGCCCTCCAGAAGATTTACCCCCCTTTGTGACAAGGCCATTTTTTTTTGTAATACAGCGCTGTTACTTTAACCTCCCTGGCGGTATTCCCGAGTGTAGCTCGGGGTAAAGTTTCAGTACCACAAGCGGTAACCCCGAGCTACACTCGGGAATACCATGTGGTGCTGCTCCAGGATCTGTTCTTCTCTTACCTTGTCCTGCGCTTCCGCGATGTCCCTCCTGCAGTGTCCCTGTAATGTCCTCCGGCGGATGCCGGCATCTGTCTTCTGGGTTCCGTCCCCTGCGAGCGTTGGGACGTAAGGGGGACGGAACGGCGGGAAATATGAAAATGACAAAAAGTGACATTCACTAAATACACTAAAATCACATAGTATAACATTACTGTATCAAACCATTTCACATACATTTTGTCCCGAGTGCTTTGTCCTGCCTGCATTTTTACTGTTCTTTCTGCCTGGAAACTGAGAAAAGTCCATGGCGTCCAAAAAGCGTCCCTTTAGGTCAAAAGCGGTTTTAGACCGGCTAGAGAACAGCGATAGTAAATCAGAACCACTTGCAGAATTGAGTGATAATGATTCGTGGGGGAAATTCGTCATCAGACATTGAAAACGATTCTGCGACTTTGCTCAGTGATGTGCAAACTTGGCGCTGTATTTCAAATTTCAGTGTTTTTGGTTTGATTATATTATTGAATTAAATTTATTATATTATTATTTTTTATGATTATTTATTAAATTATAATTTATGATTTCGTGTTTAAAATTTTATCATACCTGGGATGTTTACTAGACTCTTGTTCAGACAGATCTCAGTGAGTTATTCCTAAAAATTGCAGGCCTTTGAGCACAGAAATATGGACATAATCAGACCGCTAGGGAGGTTAACTGACAATTGTGTGGTCATGCAATGCTGTACAAAAAATTAAATGTAAGTAATTTTTTTTCACACAAATAGAGCTTTCTTTTTGTAGTATTTGATCGCCTCTGCGGTTTTTATTTTTTGTGCTCTAAACAAAGGAATATCGGCAATTTTTTTTTTACTTTTTTCTATAAAACATATCCAATAAAAAAATTTTAAAATCTAATTTCTTCATAAATTTAGGCCAAAATGTATTCTGCAACATGTCTTTGGAAAAAACAAATCAGAATAGGTGTATATTAATTGGTTTACGTGAAAGTTATAGCGTCTACAAATGGTGGTTTATGGTGGAATAATTTTTTTTTTATATTAGTAATGGTGGCGAACAGCGACTTATAGTGGGACTACTGGGCTGTGGTGGGCATTCTGACACTAACTGACACTGGGTGGGAACTGACTAACTGCCACTGACATCTTCAGTGACACTAATACAGTGATCAGTGACACTGTATTAATTACACTGGGCAGGAAGGAGTTAACGCCCCTGCTGACAGGAGAGAGACCTTTGTTATTAACACACAGATCTCTTCCACCAGCTTCTCCACTGATCATTGAGTCCTGGCCATGAATCGCTGGCCGGGACTCGGTGATTGACATCTTCTGGAGCCAATGACAGCGTGGGTAGGTCAGCATGCGCATGTCCCTTACAAAAATATAAAATCACGTATTTTTTTACGTGATTTTGCGCAGCACAGTTGCCCTGCAGCAGTATATCTGCTATAGGGTGGTCCTTAAATGGTTTAAACAACAAAGTAGGAGGTGGAAATTTTCTAGTAAATTTAACTAAGGATTCACAGTCTGCCATAAAGCATCCAGGCAATTTTGGACTTAGAAACCCCAACATGCTATTCAGATACAGCGCCATGGATGTATGCTATAAAAATATATGCAACATCAGTTTACACAGATGCACACCTTCATAAACAAATTATATAAAAAATGTGACTACAAACCACTGCAATTTGCATTTAAGGCCTCTAATGCAGGAAAAAGTGATATGGGGGGGAGCAAAATATATGTTTATAGTGCTCAGATTACTTCTCCTATGTTTAGAAAAGCTAAATGCAGAATTGCCAGCATGACTGAGGCTGAACTCCAGAGTCAAGTCTGAGAATTTTTATTTAATGGCACAAATTGGAAAATCCATCAGTCAGAAGAAAATGGCCAACAATAGGAATGACGTTAGTGAAACCTAGATAAACTGTGTTTATTCCTAAAATCATACTACCTGGTGACGTTACAGGTTAAAATAGATTTTCTAGTATAACATCATCTTTTTTATAACCACTAAGACATCTTGGTATTTCCTTCCTTACATGGCAGGTATTTGGTAACATTGCTCTCGATGAAGAAGATGAGGACACGGCCATCACCGAACACAACAACTTCCGCACATTTTTCCAAGCTCTCATGCTACTTTTCCGGTGAGCCTCTAAGCTGCTAAACTATAAAATTATAAAGCTTAAATTCACCTTTTCTGTGCATTTCTTCTGCATTCTTTACATTCTTGTATCACATAGAATGCAGTTTTCACTGAGTTGCAATTACAGGTGTTTTTCGCTGCTCATTGTAAAATATGTTTCATGGTATTTATCAACAATTGTTCTACCAGTTGAACCTGAAAATGTTGCCACTCCGAAATAGCGAAGTGTGTCAGTTGCGGTCATTTCCTGTTATGATGACCCATTGCCTCTGTGCTTTATACTTGCACAGGGTGAGCGGTCTTGTAACCATCTGTTGCAGTCTTGTAAAGGATTCGCTGATGTGATCACATTAATGTTGGTTGGGCACCATCAGTCTTTGTCCATTCATTTACAACGCAACACAGTGGCTAAATGGTTAGCACTTCCTGGCAGTACTAGGGTCATTGGTTCAAATCCCAACCACGGCACCACCTGCCTAAAGTTTGCATGTTCTCCCTGTGCCTGTTTGCGTTTCCTCCCACACTCCAAAGACATGCTGGTAGATGAATTGGATCCTGTCTAAATTGGCCCTAGTATGTGTATGTATGAATGTGAGTTAGGGACCTTAGATTGTACGCCCCTTGAGGGTTAGGGACTGATGTGAATGTACAATATATATGTAAAGTGCTGTGTAAATTGACGGCGCTATATAAGTACCTGAAATAAATAAAAATAGCCCCTTGGTGTGATAAGCAAGTGTGGACAGGCATCCAGAGTACCAACCATGCTCTGCTCAAGCTGCAACCAATATCCAACTACTATCTCTGACTGGCTAGTGTAAGTAGAACCATGGGAGATGTAGTACCTCAAGTGTTACCACTTTCCAAGAAAGTAATGTGGTAAGCTGGAAGATTACTGCGCACAACCCAGCACTGGTCATAGGCTCTGTGCATGCCTGTGATGATATCACATGTGATTTTAACAGGCAATAAACGTACTTTGCTTAGCCTCATTCACTGTTGACATTAGAAAAACATGCAGATTCAAAAAATAACATTATGGTGCTTATTCATGGTATGCTGATTGTTTGTAGTAAATAAAGCGATGGAATTATAATCATATCTGTATTGAAAGTCCCTGATTGTCACAGTCTTTCTGTACCATGGCCAGTGGTTGGCACCTTTTCATGTCAACAGTCTCCTTGTAATTGAAGCAGTCTTTGGAAGTCATATAGGTGTCCGTTTATGAACCAGCGGTAATAGATCGCTGCTCAGTTCTCTGGCATTCTCGGAGAACACAGTTCTCCTGTGAATGCCGTTTATGAAGCATATGTAGATCAGTTCTCCAAACTAAGGGAGAACGGTCTACAAACGCTGGAAAACGGCTGATTTTACTATAATCTCGCGAGATTACAGTAAAAGATCAGTTTACTAAGCAGAGGTAAATTATCTCTGCTTAGTTTGCGGTCCCTCCGATTCTCCAGCTCTGGGCTGGAGAATCTGGAGGGAGAACACAGATCTCCAGAGAAGGGCTGAACATATTCTCCTGGGTGTCAGAAACTGTGAATGACCAGAGAATAGCTGTGATCCTCTGAATCGCAGCTATTCTGTGTGTCATAAACGGACACCTTAGTAACCTAACCATCTGACAGTTGTAAAAGTGGATGTTGGATAGAGATGTGGACATAGATTCATACATGGTTCGTGGGTCAGTAGAACTAGACACCCAGGGGTTTATTTACTAAAGCTGGTTCTCTCAGAATCTGGTGCAGCCGTGCATGGCAGCCAATCAGCTTCTAACCTCAGTTGGTTCAATTAAGCTTCAGCAATAAAACCTGGAAGCTGATTGGTTTCCATGCAGAACTGCACGAGATTCTGAGTTAACTAGCTTTAGTAAATAAACCCCCCAGGGTCTCTAATACTGGGCGTATACATATGGGCATTTTCGTAAAACATCATGATGTATCTTTCATCCCACAGGAGTGCCACAGGAGAAGCATGGCATGAAATCATGTTGTCTTGTCTCAGTGGGAAGCCCTGCGACTCCATGTCAGGCATTAAGGAGAAAGACTGTGGCAGTGAATTCGCTTATTTCTACTTTGTGTCATTCATCTTCCTTTGCTCATTTCTGGTGAGTGAGAAGGGCAATAATCAATAACCCTTTTTGTATCATAACAGCTGAAATCTGATTGGTTGTCCTCTGAGCATGACCCATATTCAGTACTTCAGCTTAATAAATACTCCATATTCAATGCCATCATCAAAAGTGGATAAAATGCTGATAAGTGCTACCAAGGGACTTAAGCTGGCCATACATTATGTAATTTCCTTTAGATTTACCCTTAGCCATTAAGTAGTGTTTAGCAGCATTTTAGGAGCATTTAGCATTTTTTTTCTGCTGGAAAAAAACTCCACAAAAACAATTTTTTGTCTGCTCCTAGACACTGAAGCTCAAAGAACGCTAATAGCCTAAAGTAGTGTACATGAACACATAGGGAAATACTATTTAGCTGCTAGGAGCAGAAAAAATGCTAATAACAGATTCTAGGAGCTTAAAAATGATAGTGTGCATGGAGCCTGAAAGTGTTTACGTTTGACCTCATGTTATATGGTTTTGGTAAACTTGTAAAAGAAAATTGTATAATTTATGGTCAACCTTAGTTTAATTCAGGAACAGGTAAGCACAGGTAGCTACAGGTAACCACTATTACAAAGACAAGCAAAACTACATTAAATGTGTTGTACAGAAGTTGTCAATAACATTCATAACTTGCCATGAACAATATAAGGTTCCAAATTGGCAGCTGGTAGTTTACTTCTATTTCAATACTTTTATTAAAGTTTTATGAAAAAAGTATACAACTTGTGAACAGACAGTTATATCAAAATAGAGGGAAGGTAAGGTCCTACAGCGCAGGTGGGTGATATCAGTATGTCAGTGACAAACATATCCAGCAATATATATACAATTTCAATCATTAATGAACAAACATAGGAGCTTATCTGTCACGCAGTGGTAAACCACCCTACCAAGGCTCACAGAAAGCCTGTTCGGGGGACAGATATAAAAAGAAAGATAATAGCTTAACATTTCCAGGACTGACCGGCCAGCTGACGTGGGTCACTATCACTTCCAAATACTCTACACCAAATAGAAAATATGGAAAGCATAGAAACCAAAGGAAGAAAAAAGAAATAAAGAGAGAAAAGAACAAGGGGAAGCACTCCAAGTGGTCTGTCAGAAAGCCCATTGTCTCAACCTGCACTCTTCAAGCATCTGAAGGTTGGAGGTTTTTAAGCCAAGAGTCTCTGGGCGGTTTAAGGGTCTACTGTTTCTTTGTTGTTGTCACCTTCCTCCTAGATAGCAAGATTGTGTTGTTGTAAGTTGTGCACTTTGATGCCATAGGTTATAGTTTTTGTCTCTTTTTGCAGATGTTAAACCTGTTTGTTGCTGTTATTATGGATAACTTTGAATATCTCACACGTGATTCATCTATTTTGGGTCCTCATCATCTGGATGAATATGTGCGAGTGTGGGCAGAGTATGACCCAGCTGCCTGGTGAGTCAATTTGTTTACTTTCTGAAGCCAACAAGAAGCGGGGTTACATGTGGCTTTGTACAATAAAATGCTAACTGTTCAAACTAATAGCTGTAGTAGGTGAGGCCAACACTTGCAATCCATTTACATTTTCTGTGTTGGGATGGCCCTCATGTTACAACTGCCGTAAACTTGCATTAGCTCAGCTATCAGAATCTTACTAGGTTTGCATAGTATTAATAAGCCTTTCACTGAACAGATGTGAGAGTGGAAATGAAAACGATTGGAAAGAGACAAGAATTTTGTGCATTTATTTTACCATCAGAAGAATAATCTGTTTTCCACACAGAGAAAAGGACCAGTAAGCTGTAACTTGAGAAAAAGCAAAATACTAGTGACATATATTATACAACAGAAGCTCAATAACAATACTGAGATCAGCTGATGGTGATAAAGAAGGAGACTGAAGACGTCTACATGCAGGAAAAGAATGTCTTATGTATGTCTGAGAAAATGGAAACATTGCCACAGTGGAAAAGATTAAGTACCTAAGATCAAAACCTAATGAATACAGTAGTAGGGAGCGTGTTACATTTTAAGAAGCACAAAAATGATCTAATCAAAGTTCAGGACTCAATAGTCATGAACCCAGCAGTGGCTACTGTTTCAGCTACTCACGCTGCAATTCAACTGATCCAACTGCTGTTTAGCTTTGTTACCTATGTGTATCTCATGTTCAGTTGCTGGACTCATCTGAAAGGTAGATTAATCTTTAATAGATTTCGTTTACATATGTTGGAGCCATATCTTATATATCTGGATATTATACACCCAAGCTGAAAATCCAGTTGAAGAAGAAGACAATAAAAATGGTAGCCTACATATGTTGGAGCCATATCTTATATATCTGGATATTATACACCCAAGCTGAAAATCCAGTTGAAGAAGAAGACAATAAAAATGGTAGCCACGAACACTGGAAGATATGCTCCCTTGAAGCCCACAGCTAAAATTCCAGACATCTGATTGATATCTCTGCTGCGATAAGCTTTTTTTCTGGAGCAGGGAAATTTCTGGTAGATTAGGCAACCACAAAGTTGTAACAAATTGATATGATTTTCTTGAATAAATGTTCACTTGTTAAAGTGGAACTAAACCCATTTAACCCAATAAACTAACTGTTTCCAAATCAGTTTAATTTAAGGCATTCTGGGAACGATAACCATCACAGTTGCTCGTGCCCTCAACCAAAATGTGAAGCCATCAAATCGCTGGTGTCATAACTGATCACATGTGCAGCACTATCGCAGCTTCAGAACAAACAGAAGCTAAGATGGAAGCTAAATTGGCTGTAAAGGATAGGAGGGTTTAGTTCCACTTTAAGGGAAAATTTTTAGTGGATGAGAGGAAACCATTTTTTTCATTACAGGTCAGTGCTTGGACTATTGCATTTTATCATGAAAAGCAATAAATGTTTTGCAGCAGAGTGAAGAAAAAAATAAGACAACATTTTATCAAGTAATTTTTTTTTTCCATAATCAAGATTATTGAGTTTAGGTCTAAGTGCTGCAGCATGATTAGCTCATGATATTTTTAGCATCTGAAAGAAGGGTTTGCTCAAAAGCTTTAGGAAATCATGGACATATGCCACTGTCATGTCAGAAGACTAAGGTCCAGTTCAACGTTTGCTTCATCTTATCTACAGATATCCAGACATTATATGCTTTTGTTATCTTAGGTTTTGTATTTTCTCAAGTAATTATGTTTTTTTTCTCCCACTTTCTATGTTTTTATGTATTTTTTGGTTGTATTTAGCAAATTCTAGTCCATTGGTGTTTTTATTTTAGTATATATCTTTCCATTCAGTCATTTCTGCATATGTATTATTTTCTTGCCAAAGTTTCTAGTGACTAAACACATTACTTTTCATTCTGCATCAGTATGTCTGGAGGTTATGGTTAAACTCTCAAACTAAATACTGAAGGACCAATAAAAAAAATAAAACTAACCCAATTTGCGTCTAGCTAGAAAATGTAAACCTGAAAGTCTGTTTATCTAAGACCTTGTACAAGTGTTACTTAGACCTTCTCAGGACAACAATATTGTGGCCAGTTGACCTAGTGTACAGAAAGAGGCATTCTCCAAGCTTAGCTTTGAAGTGTATTTTAAAATGAGTGCAGAGACCAGTGCCATCCTGCATTGACTTCACCCTTTCTTGGATTACGAGTTGTAAGAAACAGTTCATTGACATCCATTATTATTATTATTATTACATTGAGTTTATATAGCGCCAAAGGGTTTGCTCAGCGCTGTAAAATATAGGGGGGACAATACATGGCACAGTACAACAATAACAAACAACGTACGAGGGGTAAGAGGGCCCTAGTATATGGTTTTTAAAAGTCTTTCATTTAAGCGTTACTATAGGTAATTTTTTAAACATCAAAATAATAAACATGTTATACTCACCTGATCTGTGCAATGTTATTGCACAGAGTGGCCCTAAAACTCCTCTTCTGGGGTCCCTCAACGGCGATCCTGGCTCTTCCTCTTCTCTGTATGCCCCCATAGCAGGCCGCTTGCTATGGGGGCACACGGATGCTCTCTCCAGAGCTGTGTGTGTGTCTATGGAGCCATGCTTTAATTTTTATTGCCTCTTCATTTAAATTAAATTTTAACTTTTCTGAAAATAGGCATCCTTACCCTGATATGTTAGCTTTTTTAATTGAGTCTATTGCCTAATCTCCACCTTATCTGGTTATCAGAAAACAAAGATCATAAGTAGAACAGACATATTTTATACTTGAAAAACTGGGCGAAAAATGTGTTTGATATATATATATATATATATATATATGTGTGTGTTATTTCCAATTAATAACAAATAAGTCTCTATAAAACCTTTTATATTGGGGTAATAGGGGAAAGTTTATATGAAATACAGATAGATTGTATCTGGATTTAAGTAGTGGGCTTTCAAAGGTATTTGTTGACATTGATTACTGTCAATCCCATGTGCGGGGTGGGGGGATTGGAGGAGAAAGATTTCAAAGAAGGAGCCAGAAGCACAAGAGACACATTGAATATGAGTAATGTCCCTTGTGCTGATTTTATGTTTTAAGGGGTTGTGAGAGGTTTATGTGTCTTGTTGAGACTGCCACACCCACCAAAACCTGCACAAAATTACTTGCCAATTAGCCCAGCTGAAGGAGGAGACCTTTTCTGCTCCTTCAACTATCCTGTATGGCTCAAGGCTCCAAAAAATTGTGACATGATCAAGTACTGCTTGGCACAGTCAAGCAATGTAGGGGTTAGCTCTCAAGCAATACTGTGCTAATTCATGTTTGCAAATATTTTACAGCAGGGTGAAACCTTTTGGCAGTTGATCTGTGATCTTGCTTAGTTCTCCATAGAAATGGAAATGATCCCTATACCATGTATACCCCTCTTCAGATTTATGCCTGGTGCACACTACGAGCTTTATTTTCCTTTAGCCCGGCAGGCTGAAGAAAAAAAAAACTGAGGAGCTCATGAGGAGGTCTCTGTACTAACTATGGTGTCCGTTTATGAACCAGCGGTAATAGATCGCTGCTCAGTTCTCCGGCATTCTCGGAGAACACAGTTCTGTGAATGCAGTTTATGAAGCAGTTCGAACGAACGAAGGGAGAACGGTCTCCAAACGCTGGAGAACGGTCTACAAACTCTGGAAAACGGCTCATTTTACTATAATCTCGTGAGATTACAGTAAAATATTAGTTTACTAAGCAGAGGTAAATTATCTCTGCTTAGTTTGCGGTCCCTCCGATTCTCCAGCTCTGGGCTGGAGAATCCGGAGGGAGAACACAGATCTCCAGTGAAGGGCTGACATGATCTCCTGAGTGTCATAAACTGTGAATGACCAGAGAATAGCTGAGATCCGTTGAATCGCAGCTATTCTCTGTGTCATAAACGGACACCTAAGTGATGTTAGTACAGAGATTTCCCTGCTGAGCTATTGTATTCTGACAGGGGGACTGCCCCCCGCCAGAAAACACCGGTCAGCGCTTGCAGCCCTTGTTTGTGAACGATGATCGGATGCTGAACGGCAGATGTTTTTCTGGCATGCTCGTTCTACAGAAGCTGGATGTTCAGACGGCTTCTGTCAAACAGACTGCTATATACACGGACCTAACAGATATCCAGCCCATGTGTACCAGGCATTAGAATCGGTCAGGAGAGATAAGTCCCAGCACGTCTATGATGTTGGAAAAGAATGGCAAAGTTCTCACCATTCTCAGGGAGACATCTGGATGTATATGGCCAGCCTCACTTTAGAAGTCTCTGATTTGGTGATTTTTTTGCATTCACACAGATTTTCTATGTTTTATTTGCCTCAACAGACTTCCTAATGAGGCCCCCTCCCACTCCCAGGCCGCATAGCAGCAGCGTAGGCTGCTATGGCTTTAGTTACGCTACTGTAGAAGAGTTGAAACCAGGTTGTTATTGCTGTGCTACATTAGGAAAATTTCCCATCGCTTTCTGTCCTGATGACACCTGCCAATAGGATAGGAAATGGGGGAAATATTTCCCACTGTATTCAAAGAGAAGAAATATCACTGCAGTGAGGGACTGATAACTATGCTAGGAAAAAGAGGTATAACATGGTTATTTTATTAAAGTAGGAGAAAGTTGAACCAAACTACAGATTGTGCCTTTTCAAAGATGCTTAATATGGAATCTGTTTGCTTAAAGCAACACACATTTGTTCTAACTCTCTTAGAGATATGACAGAGTAAAACGTTATGTTGTCTTTAGAAGAGAGAGGTTTGAGACTTGAGCCATAACTGAGTGATAATGTGAGTGTGTGTTGTATAATTCTTCCATATTTACAAAGTCATACAGGACACAACACCTCAAGAGTGTATGAGTGCAGGGAGGGTCATTCATGAAGGCTTCATCCCCTCTCAACTAACTTCCCTTCTGTTCTTATTTCAGCGGGCGCATTCATTATAAGGACATACAGTTTGTTACGGGTTATATCCCCACCGCTGGGGTTGGGGAAGAAATGCCCCCACAGGGTGGCCTGCAAGGTTTGGAAAACCCTTACAAAAGCAAACAAAACAAACCAAATTAAAAACACCGAACGAATTTCCACAACCCTTACCCTATATCCCCTTCCTTCTCTCACCCCCGGATAATATTCCTTTTCTTCCTACCTTTCAAAACTAGCCCGTTGTCCCTTGCAAGAGTTTCAGCGGAATGCGCGATGCTTCACCTACCTAATTTAATATATATATGCCATATATATATTTTTACTATCAAGCTGTACTCAGCTGTGTACACATTGTGCATCTTTTCACTCTTTGGTTGCCAGGAGGTCAGCTATTTAACCCATGGCAGCTAAAGTGTATATAGATTTCAGAAGACGCATGGGCTTGCTGGGTTTTTTGAGGGGTGGCCTGGGTTCGGATCATGTTTTATTTTGGTCGGGGGAGCCTGCTTTACAGAAGAAATAAAAAAAAAATTGCTTGATGAAGGGGGAGGGGGCGGAGGAGTCTCAGGGGGGCTCCATTAACCATTCTGGATTCTCCTTCCACATTCCATATACCTCGCTCCCACACACCCCTTTTTACCACCCACCACTATAAACATCTTCCTCCCTGCTCCTACACCACCTTCCCGATTCATACTGGCAGGACAAGGCATAAATCTTCCAATACCTGTACTGGAGAGAGGTTGTAAAATGAGATCCCTCCACCTGCCAATGGACTCCTGTTCAAAAAGCAGATTCTGTAAATAAAAAAAATAAACATAAAAAATGCGAGTTTCTATTCTGAGACCTAGTATAACTTCCCTATAAAATGCTTGTGCCCTCCTCCTGGAAAAGTTGACTGAGGTGTTATTGTTTGGGGCTGAGATAAGATTTCAGTTCCCGTTGTGGGTGATTTCTTTGCGTCTCTTCCTCAGATAGTAAAGAGTTGATCTAATTTCTTTTCACTCCTTTTCTCTCCATGTTTTCTCCGATTCCTCCCCCTCCCTAACTGTGTCCTGGGATATGCTCTCTCTCATGTTTATCTTCCTCTCATTTTTTTTCTTCCTCTTCTATACTCAATCTTTTCCTCTTCTTATATCCCTTTCCACTCTACCTATATAACATTTTTATTTCTCCGACATCCTGACATTCACATCTTCTACTTCTTTTGTATATGAGTTACTCATAATGATTTACTCACTGCATCTATTTATTTGCCTTTACTTGCTATAATTTTGTTGGCTTGTTTCATGCCTCCTATTTCTTTATGGCATATTCTTGCTTTTGCCTGGACAATTTATTTTAATAATATTCTTTTTGGCACTCATTGTACGTAAATGCCTCATCACAATAATCAACCTCATCGATCTCTTCCTCTCCTTCCCCTAAGCTTCTTTCTGGTTACTGCTTGTTGACCTTGGTGACTCTTGGTCTTTCATCCTTTCTATTGCGCCATGTGTTCAACCTTCAACCATTTCACCATGATCCATTATACAACCTCTACTTTTGCTGATTATGTCCCATCTCCTCTTCTACTCCATTATACCATGTCTCATCTGCCTCCTTTCCATGGCTCTGTGGCTCCTCTCTCTCTGTTCCCAGGGGTCGCATGAAATACACAGACTTGTATCAGATGCTCAGACTAATCTCGCCTCCCTTGGGTCTGGGGAAGAAATGCCCTGCTCGAGTTGCCTATAAGGTAGATCCCTTCCCCTTCCATAACTATTATTCCTTTCCTAGTCCGTTCATGGGTCTCATATTTTTTACCACCAGCTAGAGGTAACTTAACACTACTGCTTTGTATAATTGTTATTTATCAGCAGAAGGGTTAAGAAATACCCAAAAAAGAGTGTTAATGTCAGGACCCTCTTGTATCACTTGAAGCCTCTGAATAGAATTGTGTATTTTGATGTTCTTTTTGGTATTTTGATGTGGAGATGTGCTGTCAGTGTGTGTGTGTGTGTCTATGACTTGTTTTGTATGTTGGGTAACTTTGAAAACTTTGTTCCTACTAATGGGAGAGGACCTTAGCTAACATGTAAATTTTTCCAGCATACTCAGAAAAGGGAATGACTTGACACCCCTGTTGCTCTCTGAAATTGAAAAGATATTCTATGAATTCTTCCTATTTGTAAACTGAGTTTATTTTCAAAATATTAGAAAATATTTTATGCGAACACAATAGTTCAATTTCAGAATAGCATGTTCACATGTGAAGGTGCGTGTACTTTATGTACAGAGGTATTTTGCAGGCATCTGCATAAAGATTTTATGGTTTACAAGGAAAGTATGACAGCCTGGAATGATTAGAAAGTATTTGCAGTCAAATGGTTGGTTTGCTTGGCAACTTAGAATGATCTCTAGGTCTCTGACAATACAGTGGGATAGCTTTAAATGTGTTGCCACATGGTGGATTGATCTCTAGACGTCTTGTTGCATAGTGAACTGACTAGTAATTCTCTCAGTAGGTGGTGGAGGAAACAGCTGATCTCTTATCAAATGGTGGAATAATCCGTAAATGTTTTCTTAGTAGATGGGGTGATTGCAGATCCTAATACCTACTGGAATAACCAGTGTATCACTTCCTACATGATGAAAAAAATCAGTTGACCCCTTCCCCTTATATGTAGGTCTTTTAATAAAGCAGTATTAAATCCAAAAGCAATCACTTATTCTATTGCAGCTCTTTTGCAAGCTCCAGTTCTTAGACCTGATGGCTGCATTAGTTTGATTTTTTGGCTTTTCTTTTTCTGTTTTCATCTGGTGATCCAGCTAGTAAGTCTGTTGTTTTTCAACAGAAAAAGCTTTCTTGCAGTTACAGGGATGAAACAAACCATTTTCCACTAACAAGAGTGCTTACAATGATCAGATTTTATTTATTTATATAAAACCTTTATCCCAAAAAGAAAAAAATGTTTGCTGTAAAGGATTATAAAGTGTTAGCTGGAGTCTGCCTTCAATTTGATAGTGTATTTAAATGTGCTAGTACATTTAACACTCCCTCCCCCAAAACTCACAATCCTACTGGCCAAAGGTTCCCCCTGCATGCCTTCATCCAGAGTGGTGTTCTCTCAAAGGGTCCATTCACACCAGCCACTGCGTTATAACACAGCAGCTGGTGTGCAACGCGGGATCACCGCACTGTTTTTTCACCTCTTTTCAAAACAAACTTTCCTGAATTGTCACAGACATTTTATAAAGTTCAACTGGCTGCGACATAGTGCACACACTACTTTTTTTTCAGCACATCATACCTGCACACAAGGCAGTGGTGTGAAACAGGCACACAGGATACAAGGCATTTTGCTGAAATAACCGCCCAGCTCAGTCCCACCACATCTGGTGTGTTACTGACAAGATTACCTGGTGAAAACAGAGGGAAAAAGTTTAAAAAAAGAAAACATATTCAGCCACCACATCTAATGGTTGGTAAACTGCAATATATTGCATTTTTGGTTTTGGGATTAATACCGCTTTAAATTAATTCTAGGTTTCTATTACCTGGTCTAATACAGAATACATCTTGCATTACATGTCAGGAAGCCCAGTAGGTCCCTTGTTACATGGTGGAATGATTTTTCTACGAGAAATTGAACTACATGTTATATTATCAACATCAATATATTTTCTTGCCTCTAGTTAGTTGGAAATGTATTTGTATGTCTCTAATTAGCTGGCAAAATGGTTTATAGGACTTTTCTAGAAGATGGGGTGGTTTGTTGATCTGTGGTTAAAAGGCTTATATTTCCATGCAAGACAGCAGGGTGGTGTTTGTGTGTCCAGTTAGGTGGTAAGGTGGTTTGTATATGCCTGGGTAAATGGCAAGATAGTTTACAGAGAAATAAAATATACTGTACACTGTACAATAGAATGATGTGCCATTTGCTGGAACGCTGATAGATTTGGATGGGTACATGGGGTATGGAGGCAGAGATACAGTAAGATTTCTGATAGGGTTATTGTCATCCTGAATCACATAGAGATGAATCTATTACTTTTTTCTTTTCCTTTCTCCATCCTTTACTCTTCTGTTTTGCCTTTGTGTATGCCCCTCTCTTATCTCTCCACACTTACTATGGTAAGTTCACAATGCATTGGAAGGATGATGCAGGCCTGATCTAACCCTTGTCCCTTCCTGCTTGAAAAATATCCTGTGCAACAAGACCAAGGAAGCGATTGCAAGCTACAAGTTCAATGAAGCTGTACTTATATACCTAATAGAACACTTTTACCTACACTCTATACTATATTATGTAGATGCCCTCTACAAGTATTACATGATTTATAAGTGATGCCTGAGTGCCATTATTGGTAAAGTTTACTCTACACAAAACCTTACAGTGGCATGCCGAATCCCTCGTATGAGTTTCCAGTTTCCCCTACCTGTCACAGCCAATAAAATGACTCTCCTTCTGTATTGTATATTTCATTTATATCACATTAGTGAGGTTGTAGCAGAAGGAATGGCTTGAGAAGGGACTACTCTGTCAGAAATGTGTGATGATGCGATTTGTTGAGGACCAAGAGTGCTGAATTTACTTTGCTGTCTATCATCAGAAGTAATAAACAGGTTTAGCAAGGCGCAGAGGGTCATAGTCTGCCATTCCTACTAGGAGATCTCACTTGTGGACTGGTCAAGAAATCAAACAAACTGAACAGTCAAATGAACTGGGCCTTGAAATCAAAGGTCTGCAGTCAGTTTTAATAACAAGTAATATTAGTTTTTCCATATTATTAGATGCATTTGCTATTTCTATAGGGTAGTTTTGGGAGGGTCTGAATATTTTTGTAGTCACCGAATAAACTAGGTGGATGCATGGAAAGTGGAGCACTGACACGTGGACATCATTTTATTCATAAAAGTTGATCAACTCTGCTCTACTGTTTTGTATACCACTTGTAACTTACCAAACACACAACTGTATTTTGTACACAGTTATCCCTAAAAAGCTTCTGTTACTCCAGTGGCCTGATTATATGTCACTAGCACATTGTGAAGAATCCTAATAAAAGCATTCACACATATTAAGAAAACCCATTTTGCATTGAGTTAACTTTGCTCTTAAAGCATAAATGGATAATGGCCAAGACGGCATTAACGCTTAGTGCATTTGTATGCCTTGCACACCAAGCAGAACTAAATTTAAAGTGTATGGAAAGTCAATACTACACTTCAGTAACTATTATATATATATATATATATATATATATATATATATACTATTTACACACTTCAATAAATGTATGTAACATAAATTTACCAACAGACACAATGGGGTTTATTTACTAAAGCTGGAGAGTCCAAAATCAGACTCCCTTCTCCATAGAAACCAATCAGCTTCTAACCTCAGCTTGTTCAATGAAGCTTTGGCAATGAAACCTGGAAGCTGATTGGTTTCTATGCAGAAGGGAGTCTGATTTTGCACTCTCCAGCTTTAGTAAATAAACCCCACTATATCAGGAAGGCAACCTGCTATTTCTAAAAAAGCAACACTTTTTCATCAAGAACATTTGGGTCTGCCTACCAGGATTCTGTCTAAAGTAACTTAGTTTAGCCTTACGAATGTTGAATCTGAGGCAATTCAGTAATCTCACATGATCCTTGTGTCAGCTGCTAAGTATTATTGGATTTTGAATGCCATGTGCATATGTGTATTGGAAGAAAGAAGTTGTAGAGTGCTAGGTGAGTATACAAGGACAGTGAAGCAGTTTTTTTTACTCTCTAGAACCCCAAAGGAACCTTGCTGTGGCTTGTAAGGCCAAGTAAAACATCAAGTAGAAGACAAAGAGTGCCAAGCCACAGATATAGTTCTTTGTTTGTCACACTAAAAGCTTTTCAGGAGAACAGTCAACATTTTTTGGGAGTTAAATGAAAGTCTCTCCTAATCAAGATTTAAACACAACAGAAAGAAACTTACCAATGCTGTGGAGGAGCAACATAAGGTTTTCATAAAAAATATTCATATCTTCTAAAAGAGTGTGATATTGTATATAATAAATACAAATAATAAAAAATAAGTTTTGGTTATGTTTTAGCTCTATTGAATGTAGACCTCTTTGTAACTCCCAAAAAGCAATGTCTGTTGCTCTTATTTAAAAATGCAATCGTTCCAAATAAAGAATTGCAATTGGACAGACATCTAGTTTGGCACTCAATTTCATCTACTTTAGCTATGTACATATGTATATAATATACCCTGGCTGATTACAGACATTCTCACTTTGGTGCCTTGTTTTATTACACTGCCCATGACCTCCTTGGCATGTGTTATTGTTATCATTGCCTACACTCTCTCTAGGATCTAGTGGAATAATGGTAGCCTATGCTATACATAGATCTACTGGTATTGTTGTTTCAATGCTCTCTGTAAGATCTGGTGGTAATAGACTAGTCTTAACCTGGTCATACAATAATTTTTTTTTTTCAATTAGTGGGTTGAAGGAAAAAAATTGACCTGATTTGCCCATCCACACATTCAATGTGGATGAAGGAATCACTTCCGCTGAGCTATTGTGACAGCAGGTAGAATTCCCTGCCATCGGAATACACTTCTCAGAGCTGTCAGCTGTAGTTGGCCACACTGAGCATTCAGGAAAAACCTAACCGGCCAGTAATATAGAAGTCAATCAGTAGATCAACTTCTCAACAACCAGCCTTCCCTTACATAGAACAAAATTAATTCGGTCTCCGCTGACCTG